TTTTTTCATCTGCCATCTGCATCTGTAAGGCTAACTGCGGGTGACAGGATGTCAGCCTGTGGGCATACAGAATAGCAGCCTTACAGACACCTCTTGCCACGCCGCGATATATATATATATATATAGGCAGATATACATATATACACACGCCTCTTTATATATATATATATATATATATTTATCTATATATATATATACCTGGGGCCTTTGGGACCCTCATTTTTAGATCAGTGCTGGGTTTCGCTAGAAACACGGCCCCTTTGCAAAAACACGGCCTTTTGCTGCAAACACGCCCCTTTGAATTTTGGACCTTAGGCATGTTGTTGTCTCCCAGTCATTTCACATGTTTCAAGCAGCTAGTACAAGGTTACATGCGCAAAAAAAACGCATACACAGCTCGCTCGCAGCCGGCCACTTTTCCTGGCTCGATCAGGCTCGATATCCTGCCAGCATTTGGAAAAAGGGCTCACAAAGGATGATTGAAAGCTGCAAGCAAGGCCAAACCAAATGAACAGCCAGGCAAATTATTAAGTTTGACATCAGGGAAACCTGGGTTTTTGCTCATGATGCATGTCAGCCTCAAACATCCAAACCCCGTAAATCAGCGTCAGAGGCCTCCAAAGCCTGCAAGCTACAGATCAAACTCCTCTCGGTCACGCGTTGGTGCAAACGCCGGATATTCACACGACGACTCAACCTGCTCGGCCTTCCGATGTAATCTTCCTGAACCTGAACTGATTCCGCGATGGGATTGATTGCCCACATGCGAGTAGACTGTTGCTGGAGTCTAAACGCAGCATGGTGTATCATGTGTACTTTTGGCACAAGCTTGAACCTGTGTTTCCCAGATTGCAAGCACTCATAGGCAGCGAGCTGGAACTTCTGAAGAAAGACCATGAGTAACTTGGACAGTGTTCGAGCTTGGAAATCCCGAAGCCAAAAACCAGCGCTGTACATAAACGCAAACGCAGTGTTCATGGCACGCGTTCCGCTGACCTTACGCAAGGGAATAACACAAGCGTGTAAACCTTCATTTTAACAGGCTACAGTTGCAAGAAACACACACTCACACACACACACACACCAACAAAGGTCAAGTGACCACAAGGGGCCATTTTAACAAGTGGCCTTTTTGGCTGTTTTTGGGGTGCAAAAAACGCCAAAAAAGGTCACTTGCTAAAATGGCCCCTTGTGGTCACTTGACCGCTCTTGGCACACCAAAAAGGCATGCACAAACTGCGAAAACCCAAAATGTTGGTGATGCAAATTAAGCTACAATGGCCTTGAGAACCACATCGTCGGTCTGGTTTTCAGTATACCGCTCGCAAAAGTTCTCCAAGAACATCATCAGGTGTGTACTCACAGCCCCCTTGCTCCACCTTCCCTGCGGACACGTGCCCCCTGTTGGCCAGCTGAGAGTTTCTCGCGAAAGTTCAAGCAAGTGCGGCGCAATGCGGCGATGCCTCATGAAAGTCTTGTACTCTTCGGTAAGCCAAGCGAGTTTGGACTCAACGGACCTTCCTTCCGGGAAATGCGACATCCGCTCCAAAATGCTGATGATGCTTCCCCCAATCCAGACCTTAGCAACTCCGAGATGGAAGTTATGCCATATGTCAGTGAGAAAAAAAGCGCTAGGCGCTTCCTCTCGCAGCATCGCGCCCTCAAGAATTGCAGGTGGAGACAAGGGGTCCCAAGGAAGTTCACGGTGAAGGGTTGTACTCCATGCAGGCACAAGCGACATATCCTCGTAGGGGTATGGGGATGTATTGTTCAGGCCCTCCTTGCCGGCAAGGCAATAATGACAAATACCTTTACACGGGTCTTTGCTGGATCGGGCTTTGGGACCATGGGAGAATGACCTTTGCAGCTTGCCAAGCTTGACCAACGCCGGAAGATCTCCTTTAGTGCCAATGTGAATGCACCAAATGTGCTTTGTTCCATCCGTGCTTGTAATCCCATCTTTGGCCAGAGAAGCCACATCAGTTGCGTACTCCTTCATAATCAGGTCCAATGCGTGTGGGTGTTGATTTGCAATTGACTTCAACAGGGTAGCGGATGCAAACTGCGTGGACCAGGTGTGCCCGACAAAGTTGAGTCCCATACTGTTCCTGGATGGGCGGGCCTTGTGTTTGTTCTCAGCAATGAACTTCTTGGTTCCTCGGCCGAGAGCCCCATGAGACGAAAGCACGAATAGGGCTTGGTGTTTGTAGCTCCTGCCTTCATCAGAATGCGAGAAGAACGGCACAACTTGGCATAGTTGATGTCGGTCGAAATGTTGGAAGACTGTATGAGTAGGGTGTAGGTCTTGGTACCGTTCCCAGAACTGAGATAGGATTTCTTTGGTGCGGTTCCAGTCAGCCACGCCGCAAAGTTGCCTGAGCCTGTTGGTATCCAGGAGATAACGAACCCAATCACTGAATTTCAGAAATGGAAACCTAGCCATATGTCCAGGGCCCAAATTCAAATAGAAAGGTTGTATCGGTGTTGACAAACCATGCTTGCGAAGCACTTCATGAACTCCCTGTTCAGCATCCTTTGGGCGAATAGCAGCAAATTCCCGCAAAGCCCGGGAAGACCCAGGGTTCTCTTCAACGTGCGCCTTCGCCAGCTTCACCACATGAGAGCAAGGGGCCTCGGCATCACCGCCACTTGAATTGAATGGAAAACTTAGGCTTTATAATCCTGGTGCGCAACATCAAGCATGCTCAGAACGCAAAACGCTTTTTCCCCGCGTAGGCTAGCAGCCAGATCTAATTAACCTACCCAGCCCCGTTGGTCTGCCCGACCTCCAACCACATATGCGTAATATGGAGGCTCTGCAGGCTTGGCCCGGTTAAGAGCACCTTCGCCGCCAGAGCCAGGTTTGTTTTTGCAACCTGTACCCTGCTGAAACTCAGAAATCAAAGCAGCTTCAAGCATATGAATCAAATCAATCGAATGGGACGAGGCTATGAGCCACATTGTGGAAAACCCCATTTCCAAGTAAGAAACGAAACGCAAGATTGGGTTGGCTGTAACACCCACCTTGAAAACGCAAAGCTGGACACCCATTGTTTCCCGAAAGCTGGTTATATGCTGTTTTGCATGTGACAAAACTTTACCACACGTGGCCATCCCCACCTTTGGCGGTGCCAAGCAGTGATTCAGAAGACCGTAACCTCTGACTAGCTTCCAGTTAAAGGTTTCTGCCTGAAACTTGTGCCCAAAGGACTCCAGCTCCGTCAGGTAAGGCTGTGCCTTAAGTTTGCAAAGAACAATCATCAACATTATAAGCCTAGATCGATTTGCTGCAACTTAGCAACGCTGATGCGATGGTGACGTCGCGGGCTGGAAGGCCGGAGAAGCTCCGTTCTGGGCAGGGTTGACAAGTTGCCACTAGAACTTGGTGCTGCTGCGACTTCATGAAGTGTAGCATCAGTTGCCAACCTCCTCAGTATTCAAGGCACATGTTCAAATCTGCTTCAGGAAGCACATACAACTCTTTTATGTGACCAAGTGCTTCAAGCCAAAGAGCCTTTGTTTCTTCATCGGGTTTCCAAGCAGTTTTGGCGTTCGCGCTCCTGCCACCCGCTTTGCCCCAGTAATAGGGCACTCGTACGTTAGAAGATCCAGCAGGTCGTCCATAGCATCATCATGCATGTACACGAAGCCCATGGTGGCAAGCAGATCGATGTGATGGAAACATGCATGCATGCTAGCTGAAAAGTGGTCAGTGTGAACCTCTACATGTGATCAGCTAGGGTCGCGCAAGCTCGCACACTGTATCGATCTACTGCGTTTGCCAAAGGCTGCAGGCAGGAGCACACTTTGCTGCAACGACGCATGCTTGCAGGCAACTGGCTGGGGCCCAAGCCCCGTTGGCCAGCAAGCGGGCAAGATTGCGAAGGACTGGGCCAGGGTCGCGACGGTCACGGACACCTGGCACGCGCGTGAGCAACTGCATGCACGCACAAACATAACGGACTGCCGAGCATGTATAGTGCGTACTGAAGTGTACAACACTGTACCGGCCAACACTGCTTTGAAACCATCTATATATGGGCATGCCTTTCGATCAAAACACATTGCACAAATGACGTGACCGTCAGGTTTTTCAGCGCGTGCCGAATCCAATCAATGTACAATACCAGCATGGCTTCACCACCACGTGCTTTGCACATGTTCCCCGGCATGCTGATCTAATGCACATTGGTGACGGGTCAGATTGTCCCCTAGCCTAATATCCTGAAATCTCTAGTCCCATGCAGCTTCCCATCATTTGAACTTCTTCAGCAAGCTCCTCAGCAAATGCGGGATTTTGCATGCAAGTGGGAATCAGGATGGACAGCGATGACAAGATTGATCATATATATGCGTGCGTGCGTGCTTGCACACATGCACTTTTTAGATGCCACCTAGGCACTTTGCGTTGCTCTCAGCTGTTGTCACCTTGCAGCACCTGCCAAGCACAGCGATGTCCATGGGAGGCTGTCGGGATCCAGTTCGGTTGCAACCAGGGCACGCCACAGTTGTCTTTTTGAGTTGGCCATCCAAGCATGCCAAAAGCCTCAGAAAACCCGCATTTTCACAAGGGCTGCTTCACAGGCGGCAGCAATTCTTAGGCGACGAGATGACTGAGAGAAGAACTCTTTCTCCTCCTTTTCTGATAGTTTCCCATCCTGCAGCTTGCTGACCTCAGCTTTGGTTTTCTCCACCGCTTCGTACTCTCGCTCCAAAATGGCCACGGCGGACTCCAGGTTCTGCACGCACCTTGTTGCAGGCATGGGGTGGTGAGAGGGAAGGAGAAATTAATCAAGTATAAAGTCTACGACACATGAATTTGTCTGGTTAGCAGCTGAGTGTCGATTTCGCCCTCTTTTTGTCAGGGTTTTTATCGTCCAATTCGGAAACAGCATCTTCTAAGTTGCCAATCAAGTCCGTGATCTTTGAAGATCGCGCAAGTAGGCTGTCCCCAAAGCGCTTAAAGGTGCTGAATTCCTGCAAGGGTTCAAAGTGCAACTTTAGTGGGAACTTGTTTGATGGTTGGTAAGATCAAACAGCATGCAGTCCTTTTGGCCAGAATTGAACTGTTCGCACTTCTTCTTCTTCTTTTTACCCTCATCGTCCGAGCTCGAGATATCCTCCGTGTTCTCAGGCTTCTGATGGCCAAGTCGGTTGAACTTGACCTCGCTGCCATCCTGGGCTTCGAGCCAGGGCGGGCAAATGTTGTTTAGCGGGGCCCCTTGCAAATCGTTTCTTTGCGCCTGCACATCCTCTTGACGCTCCCTCTCTTCTTCTTCACTCAGATCTTCATCGTCTTCTTCCACTTGCACATAGTACTTTTTGATCTTTTTGTTATACTTGTCCCTCCTAAGCCATGCAGGGTGGGATGCCACACACTGGGAGCAAACACGCAAAGGTGCGCAAGCAAGCATGCATCGCATAACTGTATATCTGATTTGCAAGTGGGAGGCTTGATCAGCTTCTCATTTCCCGGCTTCTCGCAAAATTTCACTACTCCAGCGGCATAGGACCTTACAAGTTCAAAAGGGTGTGACTTAAGACAGCCAATCCCTGAAGTTCAATCAAGATCGGTCGATGGCACTTGTGCACGCACACACACTAGGAGTTGGACTTGGACCATTTCAACACAGACCGCATGGCTTCCACGGTGTACCACCCACGCTTCGTTCGAGCGCTTTTCTTGCTCACCTTCTCCTTGGACTTGACCACCCGTTGCAAGAATTGCGCCTTGAGCGTCCAGACGCATTGGGTTATGCCAGGGATAATTATAAGGGCAATTCAATGAAAAATGAGCAGCTAGTATATTTTGTAAGTTTGCAAACGCAGATCAGAATCCCGGACAGTAAACAGCAGTATCGGTCAACTCAACCCTCCTGCAAAGACCTTGGCGACGCCCGAATCGAAGTGTTGGTGGGCACCCATTTCATACATGCGGACATTTCACCTTTTTGTTGAACCGACAAAAGGCCAAATCAACACGCACGTGCCGAGAGATATCGAGGGAGTAACTGCGGTTTCTTAGTTTTGGGTAAAGTGCCCCAGCTGTCAGAAACACCCCAGCTGCAAGAAACACCCCAGCCTTCTTGAAGTTGGCATCCTCAAGAAGCTTCATCAAGTCGTCGCGCGGAGGCCCGCCGCATTTCCAAGCCTCATGCACCTCAACTGGGACATTGAGCCGGCCGCTCGGTTTCCTCTCACACAAACGTCTGAGACGTTGTTGCTTGGCAGCCTCAGTCAGGCCCTCCTCTTCCGAGTCTGAATCAGACTGGGGCGGTGGAGTGGCAGGTGAAGTAGTTTTGCTTTTGCTGGCACTTGGTTTGGTCGAGGCAGTTGTTGGGGAGGCAGCAGCACGCTTGGGGGGCGGTGTCTTCTCAGTGTCAAAAGCCTTCCTTCTTTGAACCCGATTCTTCCCTACGCCCCCTTCCAACTGTTTCCTCAGCTCCTCAAGCTCCAGGGCCATGTTCTGGTTGGCCTGTACCAGTCATCTTCAAGCCCCACAAAACCCTGAGCTTTATTTGCTGTATGGGAAACCCTCCCCCTGAACATCTTGTCCTGCAAAAAGAAGGCAATCAGGGGCCGCAATGTTGTCGACAGCCCCCTTCCCTAGCACACCTTTCCCGCAAGTATCTTGCAGACAATGCCCCTCAAAACCGCTTTGAAGCAGGTTTTGTTCGGGGGACGACACGAAAGTCAAACAAGCTTTTTGTTGATTGGCATTGCTATAGGACAATCTCTCCCCCAAAATCGCCAAGCTTACGAGGTGTGTATCGAGAGGGGTGAACATGTAAACACTGAACCAGAGAGGCATCCGTTTGGGGGGCATTATGAAACCCTGCTTACTTGATGGAAAGCTTGCCGCCAGCCAGAAAACATCCGTTTGGGGGGGCGTGGTGAAACCTATGCCAATTGAGCTTTACATGGAACACTTCCCCCCCAACCAGGAAGGCATCCGATTGAAAAGCATTTGGACCCGCTGTCAGTTGTGCAACCCGCAGTATCTTATGTTGATTCGGCGCTGCCATGAAACAAACCCTTCCACCAACATCTTGCAAACACCCCCCTCAAAGCCTATAAGGAAGATCTTAATGAATGTATTAAACTCCCAAAAAAATATTGCTCAATCAAGTCCCCTGTTGAAAACTGCTACGGGGCAAGGTCTTTTTTACCGAAAGAGGCTTCCGTTTGGGGGGCATCATTTCTACCCAGGGTTGCCGCAATTTGTCACGCTGAGGAACCGCAAATCATCCTGCCAGAGCGCCGTCTTAAACTGGGAAACCCCTTGACGGCTACCACGTAAAAGGGATGGGTAGGTTGAGGATAGGGGCCCTTCCTGCACTCACACAGTTTGTGGGGTTATGCTACATGGAACAAGCCCTTCCCCAGATCATCTGATTCCCCCAAACACCCACAACAAAAGCTCTTTCGGGGCCATGTCGCAGGTTGATGAGGGATCCGTTTCGGGCCACTATCAAAGTTAGACTATCATCAACTTCCTTGGAAAGCCAACGCGCATAAACAAAGACCCTTACCAAGAAAAAGGCCATATATAGTGAAAGGAGTAATGTTCCCCACACGTATGTTTACGAGGCATGGTTTTACTTGCGATGCAAGCTAAAAGTGCTTTTCTGAACGGTGACATCCCTCACATGGGGTTCAAGCAATAGTTTGCAGCAAGGCAGCAGCCCCTTTAAGTGGAACGTCGGGCAAGAAATTTCAGACAAACAGTGAAACTGTGCGTAGCCTGCTTCAGCTTGTCCATCTCACTCTGCTCCTGCACGCTCTTGAGGCGCTTGTTGGAGCTGGGCGGCTCTGAAGGCTCAGGCGGCTCTTCCTTCGTTCGGGGGGTTGGCTGTGCCTTAGCCTTGACCCCTGTTCTTTTGCTAGATTTGGCCTTTGCGGAATCTTCAGCATTGTCTTTGTTTTTGGCCCGCTGCAAACCTTTAGGAGCTTTGCTTTCGCCCCGCTTTTTCTGAGCATCAACTTCTTCAGGGCTTCCCTTATGGCGCAATCATGCACTTCAATCTCAGATTCTTCAAGACGAAGACATTGACCCTTCAACCTGTGTTGCCAAGCAGCTGGTTGTGTGTCAAGACTGGCCTCGCACAAGGGAGAACAGCTTTCCAGTCGGCTGGAATTTCTCACAAACAAGTTGAACCTACACCAAATGTCTAATGCAGGCCAGGCTCAACTGATTTCCTTTTGAGCAAGGCAAGTTCTTTCTCACGCTCCTGCAAGGGGTACCGCTGTGGAATACTCACAAGTGCCCAGCATGGCCTACAAGTGTCAGCCAATGTGCACAAGCGTAGGGTTGTCTGCCTCCCTTCAGCACTTCAGCAAGCAAGTCTACGTTGTGATGCGATTCTCAGCGCGAACAGCTATATATCAATGTGTTGCCACCTGGTTCCCCAACTTGCAGAACACCCTTTGAACCAGTCAAGGGTGCAACATAGACCTCAAGAAGCCCAAGACCCGAAATCCCATCCTGAATTTGCTTCTCCAGCTCGTCAACTTCTTCCTGTTCCTTTTTGACGTCCAGCATCCTGTTGTTTCCTTTCTCCAACTCAGAACAGCTCCACCGTTTGGAAGGTAAAGTTTTTGTTTTCTTCATGTGTGACACTGCTGCCAGGCTAAGCTTGGACGTCGAGATCAGAGCTGGGGGCCCAAAATGGCTCAGGCGATCGCAAACTCGCTAAGTCTGGGTTGACAACTCGTGATTCAGCTCAGGAATGCCCTCTGTTGCAGCCCCCCCAAATTACGGGTAAATTACGGAAAATATACGTAATTCCATACGGAAAAACACGACCTTTTACGGGGAAACACGGCCTTTGTACGGGTACGGGTTGTTGTACGTACTGGGTACGTACAAGGTACGTACTCTGGAGAACAGCCAAGTCCACTCAAAAGCGCCCAGAAAAGCTTGGTAGAATCAATGCCTCCATGTTTTAAAACACGCTAGCCTTTGTGTCTAATTGCTAAAGCTCTTTTGACGCTTAGGTGGGCTCGGGCCTGCATTTTAGGACCCTTCAAAAACCTGGCACCCTCAGCCAAATGCCGCAAGTAACAAGGTCCGGTAGCTTTGTCTCCAGGCATGCGTATGCACATGTGACTCACTCAGCCCTCTTTCCTGACCTGCCGCGCAGCACCACTGCGTTTAGCTGGAAACGTTGCCTTACAAGCAAGGCCGGAAAACTAAAGCCTGTGGGGGAACAGCCAGCGCCATTCGCCAAGCTCCAGCGAGTGGCCACCTCTCACATATGCGAGCACAGATCGCATATCAGCATCATCCCACAGATCGCCCCAATCCATACCTTCAAACAGGCTTTGAAGACTTTGGCCAGCCATTTCAAGAGAAACTTCTGGTGGACCCACACGTCGTGTCAGGAAGGCAGGGTGAAGGCGAACAAGTCGCAGTCCAAATAGTCGCGGGTATGTTCTTGGCATGCATGGGCGCATTTGCGTACGCACACCCACTACTGCGTGGAACCCTTTGGCCTTTTACATCACCAATCCATGCATGCAAATGTACTTTGATTCGGTGTACCAATTCAAACCAAGCGGGTTGCTCAATGTCTTCAAGCGATTGGCGATCCACTGGTCAAAGGGTTCCGCTATTTACGAACAGTGACTGAACTGAGCTTCCAACTGTGTTTGCTTCAACTGGGCCGAGCCCTTGAAGGCCTTCTTCCCGGCACGTGACGTGTAAGTCACAGCTGATTGAAAGCCGGCATCCTTCATCTTTCTTTGGGCTGCGCGACAAAGAACCCCCAAATCTAGACGCTGAATAGTGTCTGCGTTGCACCAGCCGATGTGCCTCTTTGGACTGGGACTTTTGTAGTGACCCATCCACCATGAAGTGGCAAACACCTGAACAAGGTCTTCAACATTCACCAAGAAAGGCAAAGCATGGCAACGTGTGAATTTCAACAGTCACCCCACCTTTGGGAGGGACCGGAATAATTGCCTGATTCTTGGATGCCATGGAAGCATGCTTGACCGCGGCTGCTCCAGCAGGAACACCCCGTCCACAGAGACGAGGACCCAAATGAGAAGCACTGTTCTGGGCAGGACGGGCGACCACAAATAGACCCAACGCAGCAATTCGGTTAAAGCTCTGCACTAATCCGGCAGCTAACGGTCTCATAAATTTCAAACCGACGCGTCCAAATTGCAAGAACAAGCTTTGAGTGAACCTGATGAGCATTTTGGGAAGGAGTGAACGGAAGCAAGACAGCTTGCAAAATGGGCAGTTCAACAGCAGGATCCAACTCTAAAAACAAAATTCAGGACTATATATGAACACGTGGGTATGCTTGCTCACTTGCTTGGTTGAACCAACATACTAGCTAGCTTATTTGACAAGTTGTGTCTCTTAATTGTCATATGCAGGGACACGTGTGTACCACTAGCTGGTATCCGGCAGAGCCACGGGGGCGGAAGCTTCAAAACGAATCAAGCCACGTTGTAGCTTGCGCGCACGTCTGTTTTTCCTTGGAAGCACGCATGTGACCTCGATATATATAGTTCCTAGCTTCAGTGATTCAAATCTGAGCCGATTAGCTGTCACCTTTTCTTACTATAGCGCAAGCAGCGCTAGCTAGCTATAGGCTAGCTCGCTACAATTGCTTGCGCTAGTCAGCTACTTGAAGAAAGCAAATTAACTGGCTAGTGCAAGTTTGTGCCAGGCGAAGTGTAGCTACTCAGTTCGCCATGTAAGCTTGCTTGGCTAGTTGGCTAGGTCACAAGTCGACTGGCTAGTTCGCTAGCGAAATGCTCAATTGTCTCGCGTGTACGCTTAGCAGGCTAGATCAGCTAGCAAGCAATCTAGAAAGATCGACAATTGCGACGGTCAGCTTCGAAGCCAGCGTAGCTTGGCCCCTAAGTAGCAGCTTTTCGCTTTATTCGGGTGAACGCTTGTCGCTAACATTTGCCAAAGAAAACAGCGCGTTGCCGAGGAATTAGCGAGCGCCAAGAGCAAGTTTTAGCAGGTGGCCTGAAGAGCTTGTCTCTGGCTTCAAAACACACCTTTCCAGGCCACCTCCTCAGAACAAGCCTTCTTCAAAGCCGATATAACGCTTCTTACTGGTTGCTGTATAACCGACAAAGGTCGCTGAGCTCATATTGCATGCATGTTCATGCGTGATAGTGATCATGCACGGTTAGGAATCGCAAGCGAAAAGCAGAATGCCACAAGCATTGAGAGGGTTGTAGCTTGAAAAACGCCAAGAATATTTCTCACTTCAGCAAACTTCACGTCACCAAGCTCTGAAACTTACGTATATAAAGGTCTCAACAAGGGCACACCTGGCAAGAATCGGCAAAGGAAGGCATCAAACAATCTCGTTGATTGGAGAGCCACAGCAGCAAAACAGCTCAGCTCAAGCCAAAGCACGGCATGTCATTTGCTGTCATATAGTGAAACAGGACCCGCTCAAAACATCCTTGCGGCTCAAGACATTAAAC